TAGATACAGGCAGATTTTACCAGGTGTGCATGATGGGGGCGCCATTCCTGGGTTTAACAAATAAAAGGTGAGAAATTGTAGGTCATTTCCTTTCTGGAAATATTAAACCTCGTATAACGCGAAATCAAAAGAAGCACGCTTTTACTACAACCTAACCAGACACTACGAGCATATTTGATGGTAAATATACAATTATGCGGAGCAGGATTTTGGACCAATGAGATTTCACGATGGGCGGGACTACCCAGTACAAAATCGCAGAAGTAGAAACCATGCATGTTGCTTTATCGTATTCCGCCTGGTTAGGACATGGCGTTATCATCTCAATTATTTATTGCTAAACAAAACAACTTATTTGGATCTGTATGCATGAGGTTTTATATTGAAAATTGCATTTGATACAGGAAGACATTAGTTATTTACGCACGTAAAAGTGACAAATAGACTTATTGCAGGACTTCGGAGTGAATGGAAGAATCTTATGTCCATTTTCGGCCTTTATTATTTTTGAAAGAGGACGTACGTGTTTAAGTGTTGCTCTTTCTTTCATTTGCTTTGGTTTGGTTGTTAGTATTGCTGTAAAAATGATCAAACGGTTTTGGCGGTTTGCGGTTTTTTTTTTTTTTTTTAGAAGTTTGAATACTTCAGTATTTATGGTTCCTCAACTGGCTCACGACCCGATTTTGTTCAAATTGCGGACAGCAATGAAAAACTATGCTAAATTCTAACCATATAATTGCACATGGTTAGCGCAGCAAAGTAAATACTTATCAAGTGCTTGGAGAAAAAGCTTCCCATGTCTTTCATTGTTGGCATCAAAGGACGTTTGTCCAATCACATTTGTGATTCACATGGTAAAAACTAGCAAAATTAGGCAGATAACAACACACCTCACCCTCATCTTTGAGAAACCATGAATAAAGCAATGCAACATTAAAGACTTGTACGACAGACAGTTGTAGTCGTGTGTTGGGACGTCACTTAATGTCCAGTGATAAATCTTGGGTCCTGAAGCAAAACCAGTTGAGAACCACTGCTTTAACTGATCTGTAGCTCTATCGCTATCTCTGTTTTCTGAGCTGAGCTCTTGATAAATGCGAGCAGTACCTGGTCCAGCATGTTAATGCGTTTTATCATAAAGCTTATCGGCCCAAAAGGGCCATCAGGGTCGAGTGCCAGGAGGTTCAGCATAACGGCAATAAGATCCATGTTCTCTTATTCAGTCTGACAATCCAATCTCACCATCTCCCTCAGCTAAATACACCAATGCAGGAGGCTCATGGTTAGAATCGCTATTATTGTCCCACTGCTAACGGATAAAGGAAATGGTGTTCCAGTCTAGAGCCTCAATGGATCAATCGCAGATCTATATTTAGTGAGGATGCATCTGAGAAAGCTTGATGGGAATGTATTCAACGTTCAAAGTTCTAATAAAGCACATGTACTAAACCCCAACTGAACAATCGAGCCGACTGTATGGCAAGCATATCTGTAATTTAAGTTACAGTTAAGCTGTAATTCAGATGGCGATTACTGTAATAAAGTAGCCTAAGCTAACTGCTAGTTCTGCGTTAGCCCCATTCAGTTGGCGCAGCTCTAATATGGGGCTGCTGGGATTTAACCATGTGTTCTCCCTGCATCTCACATCCGCCAGGAAGTCTAGGCAGGCTTTGGAAATGGGCTAAAGCGCATTTGGAAGAGGGTTCGGATTCATTTCAACCCATTGTTTGGCTAAGGGACAGCAGCACGCTAGCCAGCGCTGAAATCACACTCTACATCCATTAGCGCTGGTAATCTCAGTCACGCTAGTCTTCACAGTGCGTCATTACAGAAGGCATTAGCAGCGCCAAGTGGCGGCTGGAATGGAGCATGTGCGCTCGTGAGTGTATTAGCATTAACTTTGAGCTGGTGGGCACTGTATTCTAATCAAGGTGAGGTGACAAGAAGGACACATGAATAGGTATCTGCTGAAAAATGCGTTTTGATGGTTGTTTGTTAGATACCAAACTGGTTTTCAGTGGTCAGACTGATCTGATTTGCTGGTTTTGGGTACTTCTCAGCTGGTCAGGCCAGGAGAACAGATGGCCAATCAGTTAAACACCAGCCTGGTCAGGATACAAGATCAGTTGAACTACCTCAGGCTGTTTTAAATAAAAATGTGGAGTCTAGCGTTAGCATACATGCTTAAAACACATACGTGACCATAAAGGTATAAAATATTGGGACATTATGAAAATCAATACTTGCAGACCATTTATATGGTTTCTAAACCTTTATTCTGGGTTTGGATTTCAGAGCACATTTGTTAGTCCTAATGAGCTAATCGAAAGCCAAGAGGCATTTTGGGCAATTTGCTCAGTCTAGCGGATTTTCCTATTAGAACCTCACCTTAATAACCAGGGAAATAATGGTAACACTTTTTTTTGGTGCATATGACAACATTAAATGTAATTACAAAAGCAGTGAATCCATAAAGTGCATCTTTGAATATTGACTCACTGTGTTGGGTTCGCTAGAGGGGTTGACTGACATTTTCCATCCTTTCATATTCCCAGCTTCAAATATGTATTAACTTATCACTGCAAAAGCAGGTAAGACTCCAGAAAGATCCATCCTTTTGATGTCATGTTTATTGCCATGCTAACCAAAGCAACATGCAGCATCTGTGTACTTCAAAAGACGCTCGGTCCGACACACGCAGATACAGAAAAACACACAAACTGGAGTTAAATGGGGATGAGTGCGAGAAGTTCGCTCGCTGAATTTCTGACTACAGCCTTTGCTTTCTTCCTGCGAGTTTGTGTGTGTGTGTGTGTGTGTGTGTGTGTATCTAACAAGCGTTCTGTCACAGTCTTTGCCAGCTTGAGCTACAGCTGTTGATTTGGCTCCTTAAATGAGCCAAAGTCTTTGTACTGTTGCGACGCGTGTGTATTTGCATCTGTTTAAAGAGTTGGCTGTCGGTGCACGTCCCTGTAAACGTCTGCCAGACGATCTCCTTAACGTTGCCCTGCACTTTTTTCAGATCGGAGACGCTCCTGCACTATTTGAAGATAAAGCGGCCATCTATTTCATGTGCATCTCACAGAAGTTAACTTCCTGCAGGAGTTGCGTGTGAAGTAGCACAGGACGGTTTCTTCGGTGAGAGGAGGGACATAAAAGACGAGTCTGGAAACATTTGAACTGCACGTCAACTCTAATTCTGTCTGACATGTTTTTCTTTTCCCCTGAATCTTTCCCCAAGACAGTTAAAACCCCAGGATAGTCAACCATCCCCGACAATTAGCCGCTGATCAGCCATGCGGAAAAGTGCAGAGCATCTGTAAGACGTGAAGAGTCATTTGTTTTTGTGTAAACTATCAAACCCGAGGGCATGAACAAAATAAACACAAAAGAGGCATGACTGGGGGCGTACATGTTGCGAATCGGACCCAAATGAGTCGTTTTGATATTTCATGAGTACTTCGTTAACGTGAGGGGGTGAGGGTGGAATTGCTAGGCTGACCTTTGAACCTTGGCTGAACACTATGATACCACTATGATCTTAAACCAATTATATGACAGATGTTGAAGCTGAAGGGTGTAATATATATTTTTCTCTCAAATGTTTGTTTGAGGGGGCCAGCATCTCAACTTTTGACTCAACCAATGGTGTGACATTGAAGACTAACTATTTTTCGAACAGTGAAAGAATGGAGGACTGTTTTCCGCAATTTCACTTGTAGCTGCTAGTTTGGGTTAGGGTTACAACTTGACCTTCACTTTTACATCTTAAAAAAAGTAATTCCAGTAATTGCTTCCTGTCTTAAAAGGGGTTCACACTGAAAACGATTAAGTCGCTGGAGTTTGCCAAAGTCCTATTAGCAACTGCAGTGTCTATCTGTATTAGATGGGGGATTGTGTATCTGCATTCCCATTGGTGGTCACCTAATTTGAACTCGCCAATGGTCTTTGTCGGCCTTGTCTCCTCAAATCGACCACTCTCATTGAAAACGACTGACTTCCAGTTGCTTGGCTGCTTCAAATCGCTGTCAGTGTGAACGGCCCTTTAGAGCTTTACATGGGGCCTGACCATTTATGCATGCATTACAGAGTATACTGGGATTTGCGGTATACGTCTCCAAACTGTCTTTAGTACCCTTCCATTGGATAGCTTTGTGCTGGATCCCTTTTTTAGGATTTAAATTTGTGTTTGTGTGTGTAAGTGTAGACGCCTTCTCCAGCAATGACAGAAAGTCCCCATTGACTGGGTGACATCCAGAAATCCCTTTGACATGAGATGAATGGACAGTTTTGGCAGGCTGCCCCACAGTCTTTGCAAGACTTCCCCAAAGCACGTCTTCTCTGCTATGTACAGTATCTACAACTATACTGTTTTTGTGTGTGTGTTGATCATTGTCTGTGATTCTTGGCAGGCGTACAAGAGATATACAATAAACCTGCCAATTGAGCACTTCTCAGTTCCAGTTTCTGAGATATTTTATCCTGTTTTTCCTACTTATAGAGCAGATAACGTCATTGCTATTGTAGTCGGTTGGTTTTTCTACTAACCGTTGAACCCTAGAGAGGATACAGCATTCAGACATCATGAGGTTTGAGTCCACCTTAAAAGCTTTTATAGAACTTGCCAGAATTGAACACTTCCACTATAAACCAGCTCATCTCGGTGGTTCCTAGACTAGTATTTGGCAGGTACCTATATGAAAGCATGCAGATTGTTGACGGCCATATGTCCGATGTACAAGTACAACAGGAACTCCATTTGAACAGGTTCACAGTCTGTCCCATGGTGTCTTTTGACAGGCTGTGAATCACTTCCCCCATCTCATGATCAGTTTTAGGGGAGAAAAAGCAAGTCTCGGATGGTTAGAGGTGTCTTTGGTATTGCCCCGACCCTTTGAAGAGGGTCACCCAGTTCTTCAGGCTCCATACAAGACCAACAGTATTTATTTTTGCTCACATTGCTTCAGTTTATTCTGATATTTTCATTTTTGTTTCCACAGCAACAGGGAGCGGCCACTACAGTCTACTGCGCCGTGGCTCCAGAGCTGGAGGGTATCGGAGGGATGTACTTCAACAACTGCTTCCGTTGCTTGCCCTCTCCGCAGGCCCAGGACCCCACGGCAGCCGTCAACCTGTGGGAACTCAGCGAGAGGCTCATCCAGGAGAGATCCACCCCCCCTCAGGTGCTCTGACCCCTCCTGGCCCTGTGATCCCCGTAGGGTCACCTACATGAACGGCACAGCTACATGGAGGATTCAGGCATAAGATAATCATTGTTTAAAGGGGCAAAAAAGATGAGAAGATGCAATTCTAAACTGTACAAGGACATTGGCAATCAAGCTTGGAAGTTATCTGGGAATCGGGAACTAGAACCACACGGACTGGGACTTCTGCAGCAGATAAAGAGATGCAGAGAGACAGCGAGAGATTCAATTCAATTGTGTTTCTCTTGTTCTCAAAGGCGTAGTCACTCAATCCTGCATTAGGGTTTAGATCACTCTGTAAATGTCTCCTTAACAAGCAATAACATTTGAGTTGTCTTTAGAGGGGGTCTATATGGTTTAAATGGATGTTTACGGAATACAAATACTCATCTGTTTGGAGACCAATGTCAACCTTTACGTCTGTACAGATAAAAATGTTGAATAAATGTTGTAATGGCGTACCCTATAAAGACATAATGCAGGAAATGTACAATTTGTGAACTATTTACAAACATGGTGTCTTCACATTGCTAAGAATAAGCCTGTATTCATATCCTGTACACAATATACACAAGATGCTGTTCGGAAAGAATTTGAATGCTGTTGTCTTTCTTTACCCCATCTGGCTAGAGCCTCCCAACCACCTTTTCTAAAATGCTGGGCTAATGTGAAGTACAATAAAACAGCATCTGGTACGAGAACCGGAGGGCCGTCAGTGGCACAGAGACAGAAAGAGTTTGAGTCCATGTGGTCTGGAAATATCTGGTGGAAGTTCCATTTTGAATTCCTTTTATTGTCCGGATTGCATCATCAAACATGCAAGGATGTTTCTAAATTAGTTTTTCATTGTTGGCGAGACATCTGACTGTAAAATCAGGGTAGAGTCAGTAGAAGGGGATTGTGGGTAAGGCTGAGGAATGGCACTCAGGTCGATAAAGGGTTTCTAATTTCTCTTAATCCTCCATCATCCTCCTCATCGTTGTCTTCATCAGGGGTGGATTTTGGAGAGGTTGTGCTTTGTGGCAGTCTTGGAGCCATAGGTCACCCTAAGCCAGAATCATTCCAGTGTTACACTGTCTGTAAAGAAAGAGAAAAAGAGATTCATTGAAAAAGTTAAACATGATTTAACAATCATTGTATATTGCTGGTGAGATTAGCATTTTTTTCCTGCCTTCAATCTAACACCTCTAACGTACAGACTCTAATTCATATTAATTGTTTCAATGAAACAATTTCAGTCAATCAAAACATCCCAACAGATATCACACGCACACACAAAGATTAATTAGTCTGCATCACATCTTAAGTTGTTTCTAGGCCCTAAAACTAGTGCTAGCCAATAGCGCTGAGAAATTCATTTATTGACGATTATAAGACGATTCAAGTAAAAAAAAAAAAAGATTAATCTATTCTTAATTTTATTCATTAATAAATCTATTCATGAATTTTTAAAAAAGTCCCTATGTGACATTTTACTACTACTTTTTTGTATCTAATAAATATAGTTAAAAATCACATTAGATTGACTGCGTCAAATATTGAGTTATGCCGTCAAACTGACCTCACAGCTACTATCTTAAAAGTTAAGTGAGTTGCACATGCATTGAGAATTTATTCAATAAAATCATTAAAAATAACTGGCTAAAAAATGTGTTCATAGACATCACTACTAATAAATGATACATGCTCAGCATACAGTACAAAATGTTTTTTACACACTACTTACATTTATTATTATAAGTGATGAAGAAACGTACACATTGTGATAACTAAAATAGCAAGAGTCTTTTAAATTCGAGGCCCAGTTCAAAGGACTTCTCTTGAGATTTAAACAAAGAAAGTCTCCTTGTGCGTCAGGGGTGAGCGAGTTCCCCAGGAGTGACATGAGCTGAACCCTTCCTCACCTGTGTGTTTAGCAAGGCTTTGACCATGACCCGGAACAACTCCATAAACAAACTGCCTGTCACATGCATTACTCGCTCCAACAGAGTAATTGACACATCAAGAAACCAATCATAAAAGAGCCTTTCACGCTTGTGCGGCCAATGGAATCAATAACCTGGACCAAGAGACAAGGATAAAAGCAACTCTAGCACATTTCCACACCAGAAAATCAGAAACAGCATTTCAACACAAATGCAATACAGATTGGGTTTAGTGTGTCACAAATGAAACAGGCTAAAGCTGTACAAAATATAAGCTTGATCTGTTCCCAACATGTGAGAAATGTGCAACCCAGCATGTGATTTGAAGAACTGGTTGTGTAATGCTCAGAGTACATACTCTCCTGCACAAACAGGGTTGCATAATGTACATGTAGATGCCGTACCAATCTCAGAGCAGGTGGCCTATCTGTGTTTGCTCCCACACACACACACACTGTATAAGGAGACCATGATGCAATGCAAAAATTGCACACATGGATTGGGGTACGATACTTGAAGATGGACAAGGTGTTCCCAGTATTCCTTGTAAATCCAAGGGAAAAGAGGTTGTCTGAAACTATGGCACTCATAAACAAACAAGCTCTTCCTTCTATATTTTCGAGTTGAGCGTGTGTGGGATTGGAGGTTGGGCGGCACTCTATTTCTGGTTTCACTCAGTCTCTTCCCTGTTTGCGCTCTCTTTCTTGTTCTATCTGTTCTCTCCAGAGAGGTAGAGAGGTCTGGGAGAGCTAGAGGCAGTAAAAGTGTCACCATGTAATGAATGGGCCCCTGATGGAGGGAGAGAAAGAGAGTTGGGGAGGGGCGGGGGAGGAAGAGGAGAGACTGGTTGTTATTTGTCTGAGATTGAGGGAGGATAGCTAATGATGTGAGGCATGTAAACTTGAAGTGGCACTAAACCATTTGTGTATGTGTGGGAACCGGTGGGACCGCCCTGATCCTAGATAACGGGAGATAAAGTGGGAACACAGATGTAGTGTTTCTGGGCCAGCCAGGTGTCACATACTGTACACATTGTTTGCAAATGGCTGAACATAGATAGGAAAGCTTCCAGTTGCGCAGAGTCTCAACAAGGGTACCACTCCACAAGGTCTTATCCAGGGGGCACTGGAACTAGAGGGATTCTTGTAGGACACATCCCCAATGTCTGATATTATGTTTAGTGCCTCAGTTGGCTTGCATTGAAGCACATTTCAAACAGATAAAGGTGCCAGCTTATCCCTACCGTAACGAAGAATCTGATCAGAGCATCTGTGCGCAGATCTACTAGGAGGAGCAGATCTGCGCTACATCTTTGCATTGATTTCCATCTCCTACCAACCTCTCGGCTATCTATGATCTATCGAGGTTACAATAGCAAGTTATGGGAGAATCTCAACTCTTCACTGCAGCCACATAGAGCCACCCTTAAACACTTGGCCAAGATTGACAATCGCCTGACCAATAAAAAGGACACACGAGATTTCTAAATGCGTCTTAAATGCACCCAGAACAAACAAAACTCAATAATAACATGCACTAAATGATGTGACAGTGTGCTTCAAAGACCACATTGCAAAGACCGCTCGATCTTGCAGGTTTGCGCCACAGGTGACAGGGCATCTGAGCTTTCTGCCGCAGGGTCTTCTGGAAAACTGTTGGCTCCATGTTGGCTTGCATCCTCTGCTCAAGCCGCTCTACCTTTGGGGAAGACTGGGTGGCCATCATTTGGGTTTTATGACCCTTTTCTGCCTCCCCAGCAGGAGGAGCAAATGCTCAGCTGGGTCTAGGCAGACGCTGGTGATATTGTTCTCCTCAAGGCGTAGATTCACATATAATAAAAACAAGAGCTTTGCCTCCAGAGTTGTGCCAAGTTTGGCCCCAATGAAATACTAGTTGTTATTCAGATTCACAAGAGTTTATTTGCCAAATATGCAACTAGACTACAGGGCTAAGCTATTTGGAAACTAGTCATTGTTTGGGAGTCTAGAGAATAGGCATCCTTTGATAAGAGTTTGATTGAGTGTGTTCAGCTCAGGTCAGCAGTATCTAAAAAGATAGTCAGGCTAAGATGGACAGGTAAGTAGAGGTCAATCCCAAAAAGATCTTATCCTACAAGTCAGGGATCAAGAAGACCCCTTTAAAGTAAAACACTTGTTTAATCCAAGCTTTCTTTTCCCAAATCCTAGAGACACTGTGTGAAAACCTGCAAAAATGATCTCAACTGCTTCTATAACCATGCATGTTCTGCCAAGAAGGCCTTTGTGTCTGAAGCACTGGAAGATTCATGAGTGGATGTTTTTCTCGTTTCTTCAACAGAGCCTTATTGATCATTGTATTTGAATCATTTGATAGTTAATCAATGTTTTTTTTTTCTTTCAGCACACCGGGCAAGTGCACCATTTTTCAAAGGCAGGTCTTGATCCTGGAAACAAACTAATTATACACACTAACTCACCTCAGTGCACTCAATCTAGCTTGAATCATATTTCACAGTAACATACATACAACTACCAAAAAAGTATTTTTAAACATGCCAACATAGTGATTTCATTTGGATATGTACCATGACATACAGCTTTTTTCTACATTTACCATAGTACTACTATTTTTTGGACATTCTTTTTTTTCTTTTCCATCAAGCTTTGGGTTTTATTTATTTATTTTTTGTCTCCTCTCTGTGACTAACTTGAAATAACTGTCTAGTTGTGGTACATACCATCTATGCAGCAACAACACAAATTTCCGAGGTAAACCGTAATGTAAAGAACTTCAGAGTTACCGATATGCTGATAAGCATTATACGGTCTTGTCCAGGGCAGGCCAGTGTAGTGATGCAAGACAAAAGGTGACTTTCAGAGGTAAACGGATCTCCCATTGACCCCCAGTATATGTCTGCATCACTTCCTGTATGTACAGCCCTGGCTGTAACCAAAAGCCTTTCCCTGAACACTCACAATATATCCGCTTAATCTACCCCCATTTACAACGACACACCCAATCTGTATCACTCTCCCGTTCCCTCTGCCTGTTTAAATAGGGGAAGAGAGGCAGTATGACATCATGTCCTGTAACAAAGCCATCATTGCAGCTGATAGTCTGCGACTGCATGCCTCTTCTCTGACCTGTTCACTTCGATTCTGACCATTCTGACACGTCCGGTCCTGCTCCAGGATGGGCGGCACATCTGTGAAAAGCGCAGACAGGCTGGAGAGCTGTACCACATGCCAGGTGTTTAATATCAGCACTGCGTGGTGCAATTACCCCGCAGAAATGAGCTTTTAATTCCGTTTTATTGGCCCAATATTGCTTCTGGTGTTTAGGTTTTTAAACATTATAATTAGTTTTGAAAAGATTGGTCGACCTCATTCTATTCCACAATACCCCATGGCTTTAAACAATGCTCAGCGGTGGCATGGATGCAGGTTTCTGGAACCGCCTGGGTTGCGGTGAAACACGATTTTAATAGCGCAGGAGAGCTTTGAGACAGCTGGCTAGAGAAGCACTTATTGGTGAATATGGAGAATTAATGCTGCTAAAAATATAAAAAGAATATGATTTTAGTGTTTTGGAAACAATTTCAGTAACCTATTTATGCAAAACGAACAGGAAGCAAAGGGGGAAATGCATTGAACAGACCTTTTGACTACACACAATGTGCTTATGCCACAAAATTGTCTATTGCAGGGCTTTTCAAACTTTTTAATGCTGAAGACCCCAATTCAGACCCATTTATACTGTAATTAGTGATGCATTATAAAGGCAACATGTTGTTCTCTTATTAAAATATTACATGAAAAATATTTAGAGTATATATATATATATATATATATATATATATATATATAAACACACACACACACACAGGATTATGATAATATATTATTGTTAGTTGTGTTTTTTTTAAACCTGTTTAAAACAACCAAGCACAATAATCTTTTAATCCAAGTAGTTTATTATTCCATTGAAATGAATATTGGCTGTAGGAGAATAATTACATCTTATTCTTAAACTTGCACAGGCTTAGTGGGCTGTGAAATGCCAAAGTGTGTAGATATTTTTAATGAATATGATCAATCGTATGGCTCTCGGAGGAACAGATACACTCGATAGAGAGATGCGACCTGGAAAATTTATGATCCACGGCCATCCATA